TTATTATCTATCTGTCTGTAACTCTTTTCTTACCAATTGTCCATTTGTTTCTTTGTAGTAGCTTTAATGATGCATATTTGACCATAGTAAACGGCACAGGTCAGCAGGATGCAGGTATCACCTGAGTCTGTAGTCATTGTATTGGCCCTGGAAGCAAGGAGCACACGCAGCAACAGCCCCACCCACTGTCCTAACTGGGTCCTTCCCAGTGTCCCACCTGAGGACCTGTGGTGATGCCCAGCTCAGGGCTCCTCGTGCAGGTGACTAACAGGCACGGAAAGAGCCACCGTGGCAGGGACAAGGGACCTTGTCAGTAGTGTGGGGCTGTGATTTCACAGAGGGGGAAGGAACATGTTTAACTCTCAGTGAACCCACCAGGGTATATTTGAACTGCTCAATTTCAATGACATGTGGACCAGTGCTGATCTCAGTATATAATTGAGTGAATGATAACTCAATCTACTGGTGTGTGAACATAGCAGTGGGAAGATGTAAATATATGTTGTCAGCCCCACTGTATTTAGTGAAATGTCCACATGCATGTTACTCAAAGCAGAGAATTAAAATAACCCCTTAATTCTCCTCTGACACCCACTGACTGACAATCCACCAGAATCTCCAATTGGTCAATATTATAAATTAGATCCCTAATTGTGTTTCAAAGTCGATGTCAGTTCTGAACAACTGCATGGCTGTCCTCACCGGCCTGCAGCGTCCCCACAGCATGTAACTGCCATGTGGAAACTGTCCCCTGGGTCTCCACCAGGAGGTTGAGGAGGAGACCTGACCCCACCTCCCATCACCGTCAGGCCCAGACCTCAGTGTTTGCCTTCCTGAGCCTGCAGATGCTGAGCTCTGCAGGCAGCTGGACAGCAGTGAGGGGCAGGTGTTCTCTTCTTCCTGGGGAGATGGCCATAGGGTCTGGGGACACACATCCCCCTGGGAAGGGACCCCTGGCTGCACGTCCTGTAAGAGTGCTCTTGGTGTTCACGCTGATGGTGGTGCCCTCACCCTGGGTACTTCTGGCTTCCTGACCTTCAAGGAGACCAAGGAGACGGAAGTGTTGAGAAGATGCTTTTCTTTCCCTGGGACTCGGAGACCCTGAGACGTTATAGAGAGAGTCATGGAGCTGGTGGAGGGGCTGTGGGTTTCAGGAACCACAAGATCCATTTACACAGGGTCTCTCTGTCTAGACAGTAATCAAAAAGCTTCAAGAAGTTAATATAATAGAATAATTGTTGAAATAAATTAGTAAATTCAGAATACCCGACTTCAGGAGGAATGTTGTTATTTAAGGTTATTTATCTACGAAACATAACTCACTGCACTAACAAACTCATGGTTATTACCATGATTATAGGAGGTAAAGGCATCGCAGTGCCTGGCCCTGGGCAAGTGTGCACATTACCATAATGACAGTGTGTTCTAAATAGGAAAGTTCAGGACGGGGAGTACAGTCAACAGCATTGTAAAGACTCTAGGTAGTGTCAGATATGTAGTCGTCTATTGGGGTTCCCTTCATAACTGATATAAATATCTAACCACTATGCTGCAAACCTGCAAGTAATATAAAATAATATTGAATATCAGTTATATTTTGAAAAGTAGTAACACGGATGTGTAGAGCAGCATGGGGAATACAGTCAGTAATGTTCTAATACAGAAAAAGGAGGACAGTTCTGTGTTTCCAGGACGTTTGGAAAACATTTTCTACTGCGCGACTGTCAGGAGGAGGTTGACAGAGCATGGAGACCAAACCCTGACAGGAGAGCATCCCTTAGCCAACTCCCCCAGGGGACAGGAACGGAGTGCGTCCTGAGCGCCCCCTGGTGGTGTGTGTGCTCCTTTGGTCCAAAGTCCCTGCCGACAGACTGTATCCCCTCCCTTTATCCAGCATCAGTGTGGGACCCTTCCAGGAAAAGTGCTATATACTGTCCTGTTCACAGGATGCTTCATGCTAGTAGTTTCTTATTACCTGACCCCTCCATTTTATCTCTTTGAAATGCAAATGTGCCTAACTCTTATTCTATGCCTGCCCTGCAGCTGTATTTTGATGACAACTTGTCTTCTAGTGTCACAGGTGTACAGACAGAGAGGATTTTACACCAGGATGTACCCACCCAAATTGTCACCCATACCTGATTCAGAGATGAGATTTGGGACTTTTGAGATGATGTCACTCAGATACATTTTAGGGTTGATTTCATGTTTTAATGACTTAGCATTTGGGGGGATGTTGGGATGTGCTAAATTTAGTTGAATGTGGGCTGGATGTGAATCTATGGAGGGATGAGGGTGGCCTGAGATGGTCTGAGTCATGCTTGGACCCTGTGAGTGTCATATGGGAAAAGGGACTTTGTGATACTTGGTTCATTTAGGCACCAGCGGAAGAAATGATTTTCCTGTGTTATCTGAGTGGCTCCTAATTCAAGCACAGGTATTCATGGCAGAGGCAGGCAGAGGGAGACTAGACACCAGGAGGAGAAAGCAATGTGACCACGGATGGAAGGCGACTTCCTCCTGGCTGTGGCGTTGGAGAAAGAGGACGTGGGAGCAAGGAATGCACCTCTAGAAGCTGAAAAATAAAAATAAACCGTCCTTACCAGGTCTATTCCATCTGGGCTGATGTAAAAGTTCCATATCCTGGGCACAATATAAACAGCAAACATTTACTTCCCACAATTTCGCAGGTGGCAACCCAAAATCCAGGCCCAGCATGGTCACACTGGTGAGCCCTCTGCCTGGCTCACATCCGGTGGCTTCCTGCTGTGTCTCACAGGGTGGGAGGAGCACAAGCTCTCTGGGGCTCATTAGAGAGGCTCTGATCACCTTCCTGAGGGAGGCGACCTGATGCCTGAGCCCCTCCCAAGATCTCACCTGCTAACACACCCCTCCCTGAGGGCTACGATTTCAACACACAAATGTGGGGGGAACACACGTTTTCAGAGCACAGCCGTCGGTCAGACCCTCTGGGGCGTGTGTGGTCCTGCCAACACCTTGATGTTGTCCAGTGAACCTGACCACATGCTCTGAGCCCCAGACTGTGAGGGGATCAATGTGAGGAGATCTGAACCCCAAGTGCGTAGTGATTTGATGCAGTTGTCCTGGGAAAGTAACACAGGCTGGACGTGAGTCTCATGTCATCAGCTTCTCCCCATGCTGCTCCCTGTTGTGTGAGGACTCCCAGGGCTCCCCAGGGACAGGGACACCCACAGGCTGGGGCCTGAGGGGAGGGGCCTCTTCAGGAAGTCACCCCTGCAGGAGGGGCTGAGGGGACGGTGACCTCACGTAGACTGTGCTTGAACCTGGCACACATGTGAGCCATGATGTTGCCACTATGTGTCGAGATGGTCCTCCCAGATGTCACGTGTGTGTTGCTTGACCACAGGTGGGAAGTCAAAATTCATAATTCATTTCTGTATTCTCTTTTTCCCAAGCACAGTTCCATTATTCAGAAATATTGGAAACTGAGAGAACTTTCTAGAGAGACTCTCAAATCCAATCCCAGAATCCACCTCCAACCAAGATTTCACAGATGAGGCCTGAACTAACCTTCCTCATTCAGAGAACATGGAGGCTCCAAGTGTGCCCTCTGCAGGGACAATGACACGTGATGGGGTCTGTTCAGGAAACATTTTTCCTCATAGCTCCTTGCAGGACGTTTGGACACTGGAATCCTTTCCCTGAATGACTGATGTGCACGTGAGAGCCTCACTCCTCGTCTCAGGGTCCTGACTCTGTGTGAGGAAGTCAGGAGACTCATCATCCCGGTCACCTCCTCAGCCCCGCACAGCTGTCCCCTCCCTCAGGGTTTGTGACACTCTCAGGATGTGGCTCATTACACTGTGTGTCTCGCACAGTAATACACGGCCGTGTCCTCAGGTCTCAGGCTGTTGATGTGCAGATAGGCCGTGCTGACAGCGGTGTCCAAGGAGAAGACAAATCGATCTGAGAATCCCTGGGCATACGTTGGTTTTTCTGTGTTTGTGTTGCTGAATCCCATGCACTCAAGCCCTTGTCCCGGGGCCTGTCGCACCCAGTGCATCCAGTAGCCAGTGAAGGTGTATCCGGAAGCCTTGCAGGACACCTTCACTGAGGCCCCAGGCTTCCTCACCTCAGCCCCAGGCTGCACCAGCTGGATCTCGGAGTGGACACCTGTGGGAAGGAGACAGGAGTGGGTGGGAACCCCGTGACTGGCCCAGGTCCCCTCATCAGCCCAGGGACTTGGGAGTCCCTTACCTGTAGCCACTGCCACCAGGAAGAGGACTCTCCAGCTCCAGTGCATGGTGAGGGCTGTGCTGTCAGGACGTCTGTGGGGGAGCGTGTGGCTGTGGGGCAATGCTCTCAGGACACAGACATGTCACCATTTAATCCCGCCCACCTCATATCATTTGCATATTCATGAGCAGAGGGCTTCACAGCAGAAGACTTGGCCCACCTAAGAGAGAAGCTGGATGACACAGGGACCATGGTCAGTGGGTGTCTGAGGGTCCACGTCCTAATCCTTGTTGGAGGAATTGTGTCCCCTGCCAGGTCCCTGAATCTGTGCAGACAGAGCACCTCCTACTGAGGAACAAGCCCCCTAGGATGCGATTCACACTGTGAAGACCCCTTTCAATGACACATGGAGACCACCTGAGTCTGTTTATTACTTTAATCTGAATGTCTCATCCAGCAGTCAGTGTGTGTGCAATAAATTTTTTAAAATCTCAAATTCGTAAAACCATCCTAGTCATCCAGATTGTTCCTATTAAGACATCTTGAAGTCCTAGAAACCCCATTTTATATTTGATTTTACTGTCCATTGTGTTTGGTAAATTCTCCCAATAGAATAGGACATTTATAGACTTCAGCAGTCCTTGCACAACTCTTTTTTAGGTGTTTTTTTATAAAGAGGAAGGAAGCCCCAGGCCCTCAGAGGAAGCCCCTCCCCTTCCCCTCCCCACCTGCTCCTGGGGCTGCAGCCCCTGCTGGGTGGGTCCTGTCTGGAATCACAAATCGTGGCCTCTAGTGTCTCTCGTCCAGTGTTAAATGTCTGTGCCCTGACCTCACAATGCTCCCTCAGGGACACCATATTCTTTTGACATCATATATTGAAATAATGAGTTTATGTTACTAAAACCCAATGACTGTTCAAGGCAGACCTCAAGCAAGGGCTTTATGAAACCCCCTGGAGCCCTTTTTGTGAAGCTTCCAAATCCACTGACAAAGTTCTAAGTCCAGAATCTCGCGGGGGTTTTTGAGGCCTCTTACCTCCGTTAGGTTCCTCTGGTTGAAGGTGACGCCTGGGAATCCCTGTATTGTCTCACAGCCCTCTCTACCTTTGGTAGTCAATAAATTAAACACACACAGAGTGTACAATTTTAGCATTAATGGTGCTCTAAATTGTCCTTGTCCCCTCTACCTAGTTCATGGGCCGTCCCTCACTCTGACCCCAGGCCTGGGTGTGTGACTTCTCTTGTAAATGGAACCCCAGGGAATGTGACACATGAACAGACTTGGGAAGAACCTGCACCCTGGCTCTGCTTTTTCTCAC